TGTGTGTGCCGGTGTGTATGTGTGTGTGTGTCTGTGTATGTGTGGGTGTGTATGTGTGTGTGTGCGGGTGTGTATGTGTGTGTGGCGGGTGTGTATGTGTGTGTGTGTGGGTGTGTATGTGTGTGTGTGTGGGTGTGTATGTGTGCCCCACCATGCATTCACACCCTCTGCCATCCGTCCTCCCACCCTGTGTCCTGTGCTTCCTGCGATGGTCTTCAGGCTCATTGCTTCCCTCTGCTTATGGAGAGTGGATGGATCCATCCATCCATCCTTCCATCCATCCATTTTCCATAGCTGCTTGTACTGTGCAGGGGGTTCACAGTCTATCCCGGAAGCTATAGGTGCAAGGCAGGGAATTTTTTGTCGAGCACAGACAGCCATGTATAAATCCTGACAAAGCCATGGAAAATATACATCATGTCATCAAACATTAGTATGTACTTACAGGGGTTTTGTCCTCATCAGTGATGCTGGTGCTCAGGCTCCCCCTGGTGGATATAGAACCATGTCAAACGCGGGTTAGAGAATTTGCACAGTGGTTAGGACTTCTGGCCAGTGCAGTAGCTGAACCCAGACTGAACAGTGGGTCGTCGTTAAAATAAGACTGTAGTCTTATATTTTTAGAGCCTTTTTTTAATGTGACTCTACCAGCACATGGGGCTGTAGAAGGCATTTGGCTTCTTCAGCGGATGTAACATCTTCACATGCTGTTTTCCAGAATTAAAACAGGATACGAGGAGCGTGAGGACTGCTTCAAAACATCTCTATTTTTTCAACTGGATAACAGGAAGGGGAGTGTGCAGGAACCAGCTTTTTTCTATTTTGCCCTAACATTGTTTGCAGTTTTCTCAGAAGAATAAAAAAAAACGAAAAATCTGAAGAATTTTAAGAGCAATATGTGCAATACTTTATGATATTAGTTTTTTTGTAATATCAAGCTACAAAACCCATGAATTACTTGTAAGTAAAAGCAATAGAAAGTCATTTTATGGCTAAACGTCATTTTAGTGATGCTAAAATGACACATAAAGGCCTATGTGGATGACCAGAAGGGGAGAAATACTATTAGTTACTCATTAACATATGATTTCCTATGGTATTCCCCTAACTACCATAATGAGGAACTTAATGACCATAGTTTCACGATGCAGCATCTTCATGGTCAGCATATTCCAGTTGCATTTTCCAGTTACTTGCCTCTTCTTCCTCTTCCCTGAGAAGTCGCATGTTCAGCCATGCAGTGAAAACACTCGCAGGCGTCTGGCGAACTGTGGAGTTGCACAAATTCTCCGTTAAAGGATGAGGGCTTCAGCTGTGTCAGACAGCACATACCTCGCGGTTCAGTTAATGCCGTCCCCCGCTTAAAAGCCCTAAGGTTTATGCTCATATCAACTGTTTATTTTTAGCAGCACTTTCAGAAAAGTTCTTATGTATTTCAGAGGTCAAATCTAATGTGAAATCTGGTGTTCAACTAAATATAAAATGGGAACTAAAAAAAAATTCTAAGTTCTATACATTATGCATTTTTTTGACTATATGGTGTTGACATTTCCATTAACATTTTCATTGCTGAACAACTGATATCAAACATATGGTGCAGAATGTGATTTTTTTCTGGTCTTTCACAATGGTCCATATTGTCCAGATTTAAAACCATACTGTCGACTGCTCTGTCGCGGAGAGACTGCCTTCCATTTACAGTCGCTTTTCACATGTGTGTTGAGTTATAAAGAAACCATTAATGTATCTCAGTAAAGGTCCA